ATCCTTGTATTCTGTTTTCTGGAATATTCTCTGCACACTATTGACAAAAACATTTGAATGTATTTTAAATTTGAAAGGCTGTCTGGGATGCAGCCATGACTGATTCCTGGTCCGGGGGTTCTTGAGTACAGCTGATGGACCAGACTAAGTGGACAGGCGCTGTCTAATGGCCTGATGGTTAGTGCGGTTTCTGCCACAGAAGTTCCAAAAACATGACAGACGTACACTTAAAGGTGTTGAACACATGAAAACCATTTTTTTTCTGATTCTAATGCAGGGATGGGGAACCCTGGTCCATCGAGGGCCGCTATCCAGCATATTTCAGTTTCAACCCTGCATCATCGCACCTGATTTCAATCAGCAGGTGATTAACAGGCTTCTGCAGAGCTTGATGAGCTGCTGCACAGATGAATCAACCCCTGAATCAGAAGTGTTGGAGCAAAGACATGCAGGACACCGGCCCTCGAGGACCAGGGTTCCCCACTCCTGTTCTGACGGGTCACTCTGAGTTTTTCATGCAAGCTGAACATGACAATAGTCTCCTACACCAATCTCCTGCATTAGCTTCTGATAGAAAGTAGACGGTGAAACTCTAGGATAAGAAAATCTTGACAGCTCTACGTCACACTGTCACTTAACATTCATGGACTCACCCATCTTTGCTCACGACGGGGAAGGCTGCTGTTGGTTTAGAGTCCAGAAAACAGCAGAGAACGTCTCTGCTAGTAGAAGCTAACCATTAGCATTAGCAACTCCACCACACAGCAGAACTCCTTCAGGCTTGTGTTATTTGTGAAGATAAAACATCAACGTTGAAGAGCAAATCGAGTCACTGGTACAGTCGTGTTGCTGTTAGCCAATCAGAGGCAAGATATCAAATATCAGGAAATGAGACTCCAAATCCTGCCGTTTGAAGTTACTTAGTCCTCCAGCTGACTTCAACATCCTCAAGCTTGGTTTATGCTTGACGCATTTACTTTCCGCGCGGTGATGCGGCTCGCAGATGGAACACGCTTCACAACTCGTGGCGTTTATGGTTCATGCGGCTGGTCTCTGCGGTGAGCCAATATTCTCCCAAACTGTAGGGGGCAGCATGGAGCTCTGCAGCATGCATCCAACACTACACCATAGTAGAAGTAGAAATTACTCTTGTTTACAACATGGCATTCCAGCATTTTTTAACAGCGTCCTCGTCTTTTCCGACAGTGCGAGCTATTTCTCTCCAAGAATTATTAACAACATGTTGATCACGGTGATCTTTGAGAGCTGAATCATACAAATGTCTGTATTTACGAACCTCTGCCATACTAGTTCTTGCCAGTCCGCCATGTTTGTCCGCGTCCGACCGTCCGCGTGGTTAGAAAATTTCCTAGGTGTGCGGTGCAGAAAGTTTGGGCCGTGCGGAGGCGCGGTGGAGCGGCGTGGTTGTTAAAATGACGCAATTTTGCCACGCGGAGCCGTGCGGACCTCGCGGACGCGTCAAGCATAAATCAAGATTCAGACAGGTGCACTGGAGCTCCCATCCCCCCCCCCCCCAGTGAACGACTACTAGGCATTCATTCCCACTAGAGACTGCTGCAGAAGTATTGAGTAAAGTTGAAATTTAAGTTTCTTTTAATACATAATTTGACCTTTCTTGCCTTCGTAAATTAATTTTAAAGAGACACTTTGTAACTTTTTCATATTTTTAATCATTTTCTTGAGCCATTGTGCTAAATTGACCCGTTACAGCAGGGGTGGGGAACCCTGGTCCATCGAGGGCCGCTATCCAGCATATTTTAGTTTCAACCCTGCTTCATCGCACCTGATTTCAATCAGCAGGTGATTAACAGGCTTCTGCCGAGCCTGATGAGCTGCTGCACAGGTGAATCAACCCCTGAATCAGAAGTGTTGGAGCAAAGACACGCAGGATGTCGACCCTCGAGGACCAGGGTTCCTCACTCCTGCTGTACAGGGTTAATGAAAGGCCATCCAGAATATTACATTTGCAGCTTCAGACTGGCGGGCCGCTCTGTTTGGACTTTAGGAAAAAATAGAGCTGACATACCTGGCGCTGCAGTCCTGCTCCGGCACGTTTCCTGCATGTTTTAGATCACGAACACATCTAATTTGTTTAATTTAGTGATGAACCACTCCTGTAGACACTAATGAAGGCTGGGAGACATTTCAGATGTTAGATGAAGGCGTTAAAAAGACAAGCGCACAGCGAGGAGATGAGTTTTGCGTTCAGTCCTACTAAGAGACACTAGAGGGTGCTAAAAGCAAGCCAAAACTGCCTAGTTCCCATTTAAATGTCCAGCTGGGATGTGGATCTGAAGGCACTTCTGAGATTTTTCAGGTCTTTAATGATTCAGATGTTTTTTGGCTCCAGCACACCTGATCTAAACCAGTTGTAAGAATTTACGAGACGAGTGATTAAAACGTGTTAAAGAACACGAAAGAGGAAAGGCTGTTGAGACGAATGGGAAAACTTCTGGAATTCAAACCACCTGTGACCTCCTCAGTCAGGAAGTCTCTGTCAATCTTTACCCCACTAGTGGGAAAAAGAGGTTAAAAAATGCTCCCCTGTCTACTGTGGGGAATAATTGTTTTTCCTCTGAATAAGCAGCATCTTTTTAGGGGAAATGTTTTGTTTCATGCCATCCTGCTTGGCCGGATTAGAAATGAAAGCCATGAAATAGTCTTAGCCGGGAAAAAAGGGAATGTGGGTTCTTTGCCTTACCCCCGCCTGAGCTGTCACCCCATCACCTCTACGCTGAGGGGGCTGAGGTTTTGTGAGGAGGCCAGCGCATCTGAATGGAGACCCAGCGTGTCGTCTACAGGACCCCCCCCCCCCCCCCCCCCCCCCCCCCCCCCCCCCCCCCCCATGGCCTTCTCTAAGCACAGAAACACCAGAAAAGACAGAATGTCCACAAAGTCCTTTAAGAAGAGATTTATCAGACATAAAAAGGCAGGGAAGATGAGAGACGCTCTTTCCGTGCAGCGCTGGAGACGGGAGTGAACTCTGCCATGCATGTTGTGTGTTGAGATGCTCTCATTACAATCCCATTGGATTATTGGGGGGGGGGGGGGGGGGGGGGGCATTCTCACTGGTTTTAGGGAGATGGTTAAGTCTGATTTGGCCAATCTCAAGGGTAGCAGGAGGAAGGATTTGCGGGAATGCGTGTTCTGGGAATTATCAAGATGATGTTTTAAGAGAATTTTTCAATTTTCCCACATTTTGAAAAACTTTTGCATCAAAATTACATTTCCTGTGTCTGCAGAGATTAAAGTGTTTTTGCATGGACACCTGCACGGTTCTGGCCTGGTGTTTATGCAGATCACCATGCAGGTTGTGCGTTTATGGGCGGTGGTGTTGGCGGTGCTGGTCACGCTCGGAGGTCCGCTCAAGGCCCATCGCCTCACCGGCTCGCTGAAGGCTCACTGGTGCAAATGGATGCATGACCGTCTTCACCAAAACCAGCAGACGCTCGGGCATTCCCACAAATGTAGCCGGGTCTCCCACAGTAAGTGCAGAAGTCCTCTTTCTGGGTGTTGCAGCTCGGGATTCCTGGAAGGCTCTTTGTGTGAAAACATTTAGGCAGTGGTGTTGGACGCTTCTGGTAGGATGTCGTTTTTCTTGTTCATCTGATCAAAGTTGCAGCAGGAAAAAAAATGATGCAGAAAACCCCCTTTTTGTGCAAAAACCTAAGGTGCAACACACAGAGCTCATTAAACGTGCGTAAGGGTTTGATCAGCTAACACAAACGTGGTGCTTTTATGTTTTGGGAAAATTTAAAAGTAAAAAACAGTAATTCTTTCTCCTGTAATGCATCAGAAATTGAAAACACTCATCCCAGCACTTCCACATCCCCTCCTGCGTTGATGGGTCTAAAAGTGAAATTTGCTGATAATTGCTTCTATTTTACAGCCGTCTGCTACTGGCTAAAGGAAATGCAACTGTTCTGGCGGTGGTATTGAGCCGAGGAGCCACTTTACAGAGCCGGGGCTGTAAAAAGCTTTCAGGAAAATCGGGCGTGAGTGAGAACGGAGCGCTCGGAGCTGTAATGTAATGCACACATGGACGAATGAGAAATAAAAACAAGCTCAGAGCTGAAACACGAGCTTCCCTCCCGCAGCTGCACTCTTCTGCAGCTTTCTGCTGGTCAAACATCGCACCAGGGAGGATTAGATTGAATTTTCAGATATTAATTTAAGAAAAAGGTAATTTATTGCACCGTTTTTAGTGTTGAATTCAATGTATTTGTAGTTAATATTACATCCACATTTTTGTTTCTGTGATTTTATTGGAATAGTGCACAAAATAAGGTGTGAGAGGAGGATTTTCACTATTTTTATTATTAATACATTATTATTATTATTATTATTATTATTATTATTATTATTATTATTATTATTATTATGAGACTAATTTTAATAGATAAAATCAAAACTTTTTCTCCTGAATCCAGATTAGTTTTGGATTATGTCAAGCTGCTTCCACCGGAGGGCGCTGTTCGTTAACTAATGCTCAGTGACGCAGACTGGAGGAGGAAAGGCTTTTGTTCCTTTAAAAAAAACTTCCTGATTTTTAAACAAACTTCACTTTTTAATCTAAAACGTATCATGAAGTTTTAACCTCATTTGATGTGAAACTAGATTTTTTTAAAAAAGCTGTTTTCTGCCGATTTTTTGGGGAATAAAATCTGAGATGAATTTGCAGCTCATTGATGTCTGAAGTGGAAAAACAGGATATAAAAAATGTTTTATTCAAGCGGATGTCAAATAAGCGCCGTGGAAAAATACCGTAGACCTTTAAAAAAGGGACATAAACTGTTTATTTCCTTAAGTTTTATTATTTACTTCAAGATTCAAAAATATTTTAAGGGAATCTCTTTGGGGGCTTTTAAATGTTTTTAATACAACGAAAACACAATAAAGGAGCAAAAGCATTAAAGTAGCGTATCATTTAAAAAACAGCTGATCATCAAAGCTAAAATGACAATAAACCCGGAAGTGCGCCTGTCAGCGGGGCGACGGCGCCTGAACGCACCTTCTCCCTCGGTGGATCCAGACGGGAAGAGGTTAAACCTCCGAGTCGCTGTGCGGACGGCTGGAGGACGCACGCGGAACATTCTGCTCTCTGTGAATGAAACGCTGCGACTATGACTCCGGATTCCTCCTCTTCTTCATCTCCTTCCTCCTCCTCATCTCTCCTGAGGTCCGGAGTCTGAAGCGGAGATCAGGAGCTGCGCGTCGGTGTGAACCAGAGGAAAAGTGATGGAAAAGTTGCTCTGAGCCCGGACTGGACACATTCAAGAAGTTTCTGCTTTTGTGGGGACAGATGAGTTCAGTCTGGACTGAAATGATGTGACTGCGGACTAAAGCCACCCTGGATTTACGCTCTGCTTTGCTGCGGGTTTTGGTCACTTTCTGACTCTCCTGTTTTCATTTTTGCGCAGATCCTACATGCCTTTAGCAGGATTTCCGCAGGTCCGAGCGCAGGGCGGCGGGATGAACCCAAAGAGCGGACAGAGTTGTGAAACGCGCAAACGGGACTCACGTTCAGATTAGTTGGAATAGTTCCTGGATTGTTGCGCCTCAGTCCAGAAACCAGAGCGAGCGAGCGCCTCACTCCTGGGACTCCAAACAGACGCTGGACTTTATAAACTGTTTCAGCTTTTGTCATGGAGTAGTGGATGCCTGAGTGGTTCTGTTGAATAATCTGGGTTACACAAGAACATTTCTTATAAGAGAGGCGCTGAATGATGTCTCCAGCTTCAGTTGGATTTGTTCTTCTGTTAGGATTTCTCCATGTGGGCTCAGGTGAGTTCAGAAGAATGATTCGCAACAACTCAGCAGCTTATTTTTAATATTTACTAAAAACATTCATGAACTTAACTCCAGATGCAAATTGATGCTTAAAAAGTCATAAATATGAGGATTTGTGCACAAAAACACGATTTTGCTTGTGAATTTCATCTCGTGTGTGATTTGTTGGTTTAATTTATACACATAAATATTTCCCTGGTGTCTAATTTTAGTTTAAAGGCTTTTAAAAGTGGTAAATGAAGATTTTTTTTTGTGGGAAAGAAAAATCAACATCCTAAATTTTAAAGCTGAGCTCTCATAAAGTCGCACATAAAGTGCTGAGGCCATGTGGGATCAGTGAAGGGAGCAGCTCTCATCGGTCATGCAGACAGGAGAAGCCCCAGTGGGAGCCATGTTTCCATGCATGTTGGGATTCTCACCCTGAATGACTGTTATTGCTGACTACAACGTTTTTATTTTTTTTTTTATATCAACTCAACAGATTTAGCTTTATTTGTCATTTGAATCCGGTGTTCTGTGCCATGCACCAACACAGCTTTCTGATGCTGCTGCTAGTTATTTGTTTTCCTACATGGAGCTCATGTCCCCCCAACCCATCACATGGATGTCTTTATGGAGTTTCTGGACCGCGCTGGCTGGGGCTTTCCAGGTCAGTTGCTCTAAAGTTCAGAAGTGAATCATCCCATCGATATTAAGAGGAAAGGGAACATTAACTCGTATAAAATCTGAGTTTCAAACCCCCAAAAAATCACTCAATAAAACAGGATTAAACAAACGCAGGGTGTCCTGTTTAGATATAAAGTTTGTTTTAGCTCACCAACGCGGTAAACAGCGGTGTGGCCTGGGCCCTTTGCACTGCTGCAGCGTTGCTCTGGCTAACCTACAATTACCTTAGTGATTATTTTCAAGTTTGAACCCGAAAAGCCGCTGAAGCCTAAATCTGTTGTCTGGTTCCAGATTTCTCGTTTTCAGGGGCTTCGTCCCTTCTTCAACAACTTTTCTTTATTCGGGGTTTTAGTTCGGGTGTAAAGGGGAACCTAAATGTCCCGGAGAAGCGAGCGGTCTGTGAGGAGTTGTCATGAAACCTAAACAGGAAGTGAGGTCAGAGGTTGTTCCTGAGAACTAGGTGGTGGCTCCGTCTGCTCCACCTTGAGTCGCCAGCAACGGTCCGGTCCTGTGAGAGGGTCTTTCATACACCAGGGTCTCGTATTACCCCTCAGCATGGGGATGTCTAGCAGTGTTTTATGGTGTGTGTGTGGGTGTGTGTGTGTGTGTGTGTGTGTGTGTGTGTGTGTGTCAGCCGTTGGTTGGAGGAGTGAGACGGACTTCACTGACTTTGTGTTTTGCCGTTAATGAAGCGTTGCTTTGACGCGCAGAAGTTATCGAATCGTAAGGAAACTCTCTGAATCGTGTGACGTTACCTTCACGCTGCTATCCAGGCAGCAGCTTTTTTATCCCGGCTTGCTTCGGCGAAACAGAAGGAGGTCCGCCGACCTTTGCCCTGTCAGACTTGTGATGGCTTGCTTATTGCCCCTCTCTGCTCTGTCTGAAGGTTGTAAATTGATACCTTCGCCTGTCAAGTCCCACCCTGTTATCAGTGATCTGTCCTCCTCCTGTACACTAAATGCTTGTTATCTTGCCTCCACGTGCTCGTCAGACCCCACAGACACCGTTCAGGTGGAGGCAGAGGGGTGGCTGCGCTCAGTGGGACCCTGGATCGTTCTGAGGAGACGGCTGCTGTGGAAATGAACATTAGAGACAAACCTCCAGCTCGTCTCGTAAAGTTCACGCCCGTGTTGCTGTAAATTGTTATCCAGCCCGCCGCGGCGTGCTGATAAAGACGTGTGCAGTGGGAGTGGTGTCCCGGTAGTCAGCCCCAGCCACGGTGCAGAGATGTGCCGGTCGTGACAAATTGACTCATAAGTGCTGATAAATTGCAGAGGTCTTCTAGTCGCCACGTCACGATGGCGTGACGAGACGCAGCCGACTCCACGGCCGGTTAATGGCCAGAGACCACAGGTGAGACTTGTCTCCGTGACTGCCTCTCACTTTAGCCGCGTTTCCACTGCAGGAGCTCTGGGAGATTTGGGAGGGGGGCAGGTGACAGGAAAATCAGCCCGTTCAGCCGTTAGCGTGTAGCTAGTGATGTCACTGCCCAGCCATCATGCGGGCCCTATATGGGTATATGTGGGTTAGGGTTAGGGTTCGTCTGCAGTTTCCATGGGGGGCCCACAAGGGTGTGCCCACATAGATCTTAAGGGCCCCTACATGAGTTTTCAGAGGGACTCAGATAGTTGGACTCATACATGGGCCTGTTACAATCTGTGGGGTAAATCAACGTGGGGCCTGCATGGAAAATATGGACAAACCCTGTTGGCACCCATATGTTTGCCCATGTATATCCATGTGGGGAACCATCTATTGGTGCTGGCTGGGTGATCAGTGCCAAAAGGCGCCTACAAACATCAATGACATTACGTTTTATTTTATGGATGTAAGCCGTAATTTAATCCATTGAGGCGGGCGGGTGAGCAGAGCAGCGTTCAAAGACCGGAAGCAGCACGGTTTTCTGTAGGAGACCAAGCAACAGCGTAATTTACTGCGTTGTGGGCGGATTTTTGTTCAGGCGTTCAGTTTAGAAATGAGAATTTCAGCGCGGCGTTAACGCTGCCTCTTGTCTTCTCCTTTCACTCCGCTTTACCAGCAGCTCTTCCAATTTTACAAATGCTGGATGTTCGGTGACACCTGACGATGTCATTCCCTAATGAGTTCCAATCAACCTGCATGCATTAGTCACAAGCCCCGCCCAGTACCTCACCGGCCTTTTGTAAACAGCCGGGTACTTGGTTGGAACCTGAAACGGACCCCCGGTGAAGGGTCCGGTAAAACTACCCGGAAGCTCCGATGGTGGAAACGAGTCTCACGTCTACAAATGTCCTCATGAAGCCTCAAACGTCCCTCACGCTCACCAGCTTTGCATCAGTGTTGCGATGTTCCTGATGGGTCCCATAACGGTTTTCTTTAGTTGAATTTAAATCTCTCGAGAGTGCCGCCTCGCCTCGCCTCTTTTCCCTCCGCTTGGAAAATCTCACACCTGTGCAAGGTGAAAGTGCCATTAAAGCCACATCTCCATGACTTCCACTAATGCACATTAATCGGATCCTAATCCCAATGAAACAAGCTTTTATGCCTTAAGATCCGGGATTAGGCAGCCTCTGGGATTAGTAAACCCTGACGGAGGAATGCAGGAGGGCGGGCGGCTCTTCCCGTTGATGGGAACTTACAGCTGAGTCATTAATGATCGACAAGATAAACATTTCAAAGCAGTTGGTTTGAGGGCAGATAAATTAGGCGGCGGTGCTTAATGACCTGCTTTCCTGCCACTGCTCTTCCTTTAATGACCTAAAAGTGCTGCTTAATTGGATTAAATGAACAAATCCAACTGATGTCGATGGTTTGTGATTTCCCCCTGGCTGCCGCTCACACGTCTTTAGGGCAGCCAGAGGGTCAGAGTGTTTTTTAAACTGAAACGTGTCGCTCTTGGTATTTTGTAACCGATGCGAAGCCCCAAACATTCTGGGACCTTCTAAGATGGTCAGGATCATAATTTGATCAAAATATTTGCCTCCCGGCTGATTGGAACCCGGAGGCGCATCCCAGACGCTCCGGTACAGTTAATGCATCTTGTCCTGACAGCTGACGTGGAGGACAAACACCCCCTTATTCCCCCTTAGTGTAAAGGTGATGGACGGTGTTCCCTCGTAGGATGAAAGGTGCTGTCTGCTTTCTGTCCCAAATCAAAATGGTGGAGTTTGAAGTCCTGCAGCTTTGTTTTCTGACACGAAAAATGCAAAAATCATCTGTTGCACAATCAGATTAGGTTGTCTTTAGGGATGTGAATCTGACCCCTGCTTTCCACCGGAGCCGTCAGCAGCACGTCATAGCTGCTGATAGGAACCGCTGTGGTCAACAGAACCTTTTCCACTGGAGCCGTCAGCAGCGCGAGTCGGCCGCGTCTCAGGAGCAGCATGTCGCGGCCCTTACGCGCCGGTTCTATTTTCTACGCGCGACGCCTCTGAAACGGGTCAAGTTCGACATTTTTTGGGGCGGAAAGACAGGAAATTGGACGCGGAAACGGAGCAAAGCTCCCGAGATTTTCAGAATAAAGAAACGTACTGCCTTCCAGTTGCTTTACTTTAAAAAAAAGTTACTAACTGTGCGGCCCCGTGGGAAGTTATCACCTAGCTAGCGGTCTCCTTTGTTTTTCAGGTCCGTATTGGTGATTATAAAACGGACAGAACATAAAACACAAACCATGTTGTAGTTTTCTCCTGCTTGTTGTTGTGTTTACTGACGAAGTCACTCGTGTGACTTCGTGCTCGGTCGGTGACAGCTGCTCCCCTGCTGCTTCGCGTCTCGTGGGAAGGGCCAAGCAGCAGTTTACGCGAGCAAGACGTGCTGCTGCAGTAACGTGCTGCTGACGGCTCCCGTGGACAGGAGGGGTTAGAGCAACTCACGATTTGATTCGATTCAGATTCTTGGGGTGTCGATTCGATTCAGAATTGATTCTCGATTTAAGCCGATTCACAGTCAGTATTAACAAAGCGCGTCAGCTCCAGGATGAACTACTTTGTTGTACAAGATAGTTAAAGCTATGGGACGTTTTTATTTGACTTTAAACTGGTCATGCTCCAAAAATGCTAATTTACAATGTAAACTAAAGTGATTCTAAAACTGTAAACAGAAGCAATCTTTTGACCAAAAGGCAACATTTATTTTTGCTTACCTTGTAAAATATAACAAATCTGTAGTTACCTAACAGTAGCTTTGAAAGTAATACGGTCAAATACTTTTCAAGTATGTGTAGAAACAAGTTACATGAGTAATCCTGAGTACTCATTTATCAACTTTGAAAATAATTATGAGAATATCTCAAATTTCTGAGTATGGAAAAAATTACATTCAAGTTCCCTCTTATCAGCAGATTCAAACAT